CAGGTAGCGAACCGGATCATACTGATGTACCGGTGGAAGTAATCAACGACGAGGTGGACGATGACGTCTTCCTCAATGCGACCCTGCCGCAGGAGCCTCTGCAGGAGATGTTTGCCGGCATCGCTGAAGTGTCCTTACGCGAGACAATGTCCAGTGAGAAACGTGAGGAATGAAAGGATGCCATACTGTCCGAGGTGGAAAGAAGAATGATACTTGAAACGTCATTAAAAAACCTAAGGGCCAAAAGAATGTGGGCTGCCGGGTGGTTCTGACGAACAAGTATGCCACAGATGGATTCATCGAGAGGCGAAAGGCCAGAATTGTCGCTAAGGTTTAGCCAGAGGTTCGGCGTTAATTACCACCGCACGTTTGCACTTGTAGCTTGACTTGAGTCAATTAGACTGCTGCTAGCCCTCGCAGCCGAGCTCAATCTAAAACCATCTGGCAGTTTGATGTTGTCACAGCCTACCTGAACGGAAACCTTGAGGAGGAGGTTATCATGGATGTTCCAGATATACTGCTGGAGACGATCGAGCGATTAGTCCTCGAGAAGAGCATCACTCCTAAGATGAAGATTCAAGCCGATACGATGATAAAGATCCTAAGATCGGGCGGAGATGCCTGTCGATTGAAGAAAGCCTTATATGGTCTACGCCAAGCCGGTCGACAGTGGCAGATTCGTCTGAAGGAAAAACTTGAGAGCATGGGGCTCTTACCGACACACGGAGAACCGTGCTTATACCAAGCACGTCGTGGGGAGGACATACTTCTGCTACTGATCTATGTAAACGACATATTGGTGGCTTCCCGAAACGAGCAATGGATGACGGAAGTCAAGCAAGACTTGATGGAGAATTTCGAGATCGAGGACCTCGGCATAGCCAAACGTTGCCTTGAGCTCGAAACTACTCAAGAAGAAGATGGAATCCTCCTTACCCAGAAGGGATACACATTGGACATGCTGGCGAGATATGGGATGGAGCAATTTAATCCCATCTCGATACCCTCGGAACTCCACTCAAGGGACACACCGGAGATTCCGGCAGGTTTGGAGGCTGGTTCCTGGCCATATAGGGAGCTCATCGGCGCTCTCATGTATTTGGCTGTCGCCACGAGACCAGACATAGTAAATACGGTGTCCAGGTTAGCGCAGTTCAACAGTGATCCAAGGAAACGGCATTGGCTGGCTGCGAAACGGGTACTCAGGTATTTGGCGGGGACCATAGATTTGGGCTTGCTTGGCGATTGCGCGATTGACCGACGCTCGTTTACCAGGTACGCTTTCCTGCTCGGTGGTGCAGCCATTTCGTGGAAGTCTCAAAAGCAGCGCACTGTGGCGTTGTCCTCGACGGAAGCGGAGTACGTCAGCATGACGGAGGTGGTTAAAGAAGGGCTCTACTTGCGCAGTTTTCTCACCGAGTTAGGACTGGGCCGCATGGCTGACACTGTGCTATATATCGATAATCAAGGCGCGCAGTATCTGGAGCACGATCACATGTACCACCCTCGCACGAAGCACATCGATATAAGGTATCATTTCCTCAGGCAGTCCGTTGCGGAAGACTTTGTGACCTTAGAGCATGTATTCACCAACGAAATGGAGGCCGACATACTGACGAAAGAACTGCCGGCCACCAACCATTTGGAGCTGCGTCGAGGGCCTCGGAATTACCAGCGCATCATAGCTCCGGAGGGATTGGCCGTGTGCGTATTGAGGGGGCGTGTTGGAAAGTTAAGTTCCCGTGGGCATGCGCCCACTCAGTCCGAGTGGCGCCATCCGGCGTCGTGTCGGCCATGATGGTTATCGGGATTTTGATCGATATCTCGCGATGAATATATATCGACGAAAAGGCGACCGTTGCGCTTATCGCCTCTTTTCCTTCCTTCCTTTTCTCCTTCCTTTTACTTCCTTTTCTCCTACATTATCCGTGTGATTACAACCGGCGATTCACGCGTTTTTGTAACGTGCGCATATACAATAAATATATCTGTCCACAGTGAAATTAACTCTTTTCTTCAGCGATCTGTCTCCGTTCTACCGCGATTGATCTCCCATCTCGATCCCGACGTATCCTTATCGAAATATAGTATATAAACAATATTATTAGGCTACTGTAAAATCCAAGCTCAGACCGTAAATTGTTTATTTAATATTGATTAATAATATTTTTGATAAAAAAGCCGCCTAAAATGGAAATATTGGTTTAGTTTTAGTTCAGACGATAGCCACATATACTTTTTCTGAATAAGAAAATGTTAGTTTTTTGCATTTCAGATACCTGGAACAGCTAGAATTATTTACACCGTCTGACATTTATACCTTCTAGTGACCAAAATACCTATAATATATAATAAAATAGAAAAAAAATTTTGTTACTTAAAAAATAAAACTAAAATTTTAAAATAAGGTGAAGAAAACATGCAAAGTTTAACGTTATTCACTTTCTTCGTTTCTCTATAAAAAATTCCTGAAAAATATCTATTTTAAAGATCTTTTAAATCAAAATACACCCGTTAATAATTTTCTACATTCTCTTCCTGACTTCTCAATATAAATATAAATTTATTTCTCTTGCCATGGTTTTATTCAATTATTCCGGCGTTTTTATATTTGTGATTTAATTAGATTATTGTTTATTTTGTTTATATTATTAGGTGATTGTTTAATGTTTTAGTCTAGACTAATTGTTCGAAAATTATCATTCCTATCTCGAGCGGCCATTTCCGAGCCGACCAATCAGCGACGGACCCGAGTTGACGGATCGATATATCGACTGTTGCGGAAGATCGCATGCTCACATCGACGCTCTCGTTGTCGCGATCATTCGTTTCCGGGTCCTCTGTGTAAAACGGATGCAATACGTGTGTCTCTCGTGACTGTCGAATCGAAAGGCAAATACTGCTTGATAATACGGTGATCCTCAGACTCTTCAAATCGCGAGTGACTCCTCAGTGACTGACATTCCGGACACCCTGCTGTGAACCGCGCGAGCACGGCCCCCGGGCCTCTCGCCGAGAGACACGAGGTTACGATCGGAAGTGCGCGTGGCCGGTACAACGAGATATTCGTCCGTTGCGCGAAGAGTTCGCCGCCTGCCTCCTCGCCGGGCACCAGATTACGTGTACCGAGTAATAACATTCTTTGGCCCTTCGAGCTGGATTCGGTGGGGACAGCGCGTCTTTCGGGATCTAACGACAGGCGGATCTCACCAGACATTCCCCCCGCGGCCTTTTGTCGCGCGGCGTGATTCTCTCTCTCTCGCGATCGCGGCTCGGCATCGTTCGCACGACCGGACAAGTTCGGGCATCACCTCGGGGACCGTGCGGTGATCGGAATTCTTCTCATTGTCGGTGCAGTGACTAAGTGCGCGACACGCGCAGGAAGCGTGCTCGCGAAGCCCCTCTCCCTCTGTTACGTGCTCTCCACCGCCGCGGCGCGTGCTCAGCCGCTCCGTGGCAACCGACACCGACCGGCCGGTTTTCTCGATATCATTTCGGCTCGAATAAACTCACGAACAATGCGCGCACGTTCTCCACTCGTTAGGTGCCTATCACACCCACCGCTCTCGATCCCCGGTACACCTTGCCGTGACACATCCGGGGGCACCGGAGAGCGGTCGGTTACGCGCGCGGACCTTCAGATCAGCTGATCAACTCACTTCGGGTATTCGTCTGCTGCGTCATCGGTGCCGCTAACCATGTCGCCCGTCGCAGCCAAAATATCGCTACAAATGAATCGCTTTACGTACATCAAGTCGGTGGCTCTCGAAGCCAAGGAAGCGGCGTTCCTTTAGCTCCCCCTCGCATCACTGAAGGTGAAGTTATCGCTAGTTGACAACTACTGGGAAAAGTTTGACCAGCAGCACGAGCGACTCTCTGATCTGAAGATAGACTCACTACTGGAGATGGATTACTTCAAGAACGGCGTCTACGACCAGTGCTTGCAATTCTACGCCGAGGTCAAGTCCTTCCTTTCACACCTCATCGACGAGAAGGAACGAGCCAACCCCCTTTCGGGATCACATCTGGCCAATCTCTCGCTCACAAGCTAGTCCACGACATGCAGCCACCTCCCTGAGATCACCCTCCCTCAGTTCTCCGGAGATTTTTGGCGTGGAGGTCGTTTCACGACCTCTTTTCATCTTTGGTTTGCAGGATCGCGGACATATCAAACGTGGAGAAAATGCACTACCTTCGGACTAGCCTCACGGGGGAGGCCGCTCAACTTATATCGAATCTGCCGGTCGCGGAGGACTCATTTGCATCAGCCTGGGATCTGCTCGTTGAGCGATTCGAGAACAAGCGCCTCTTGGTCTCATCGCAGGTGGAACGGTTGTTTGGCATCAAACCCATGGCTACTCGATCGGCGCGCGAGCTCAATGCCATCCTCAACACCACTACGGAGACTCTCAACGCCCTGCAATCACTGGGCGCGCCGGTTTAACATTGGGACCATCTCTTGGTTTACCTCATTGCTCACCGACTCGACCTTCATACCAGAGAGGCTTGGGAGGTCAAACTCGGTTCTTCCACGGAACCCCCCTCGTATCAGGACCTCAAGGTCTTCCTCACCGGTCGGGCCCGTGCCCTTGAGAGCATGGAACTTGGATCCTCTGCCTCGGCCAAGGCTTGAGTCAGGGCTGCTCCAGCCCTCGCCCACGTTGCCACCTCACCAGCCGCTGGGACGGAGTTATCCGGATGCTTGCTGTGCGCTGGGACGCACTACATTGTCACCTGTCCAAAGTTCCGAGACTTGACGCCTCACGTTCAGCGTAATGTTGTCATTGAGCAGCGGCTCTGCTTCAACTGCCTTGGTCGACACAACGCGGCCGCCTGCCAGAATCCGAAGAGGTGCAGAGACTGCGGAAACAAACATCATACGATGATCTACGCGGACGCCCCACGGCATACTTCTACTCCTCAACCGGAATCGGCGACAACTAACCTGTCGACGCAACCCTCGGGCCCGGCATCACCGGACGCCAGTGCTGAAACTCGGGATGCCTCGTCCTCCGTCTCAGAGTGACTATCTTTTGCCGCCGCCCCCCTCTCCTCCATCAATCACCAGCTCCCGGCTGGCGGTCCTGCTCGCCACGTGCAGAGCCCTCATGCGATCTCCTTCTGGCGACTCTCATCACGTCCGGATGCTCGTAGATCCTGGCTCCGAACTCACATTCATCTCGAGATCTTTGGTGAAACAACTACAATTCCCGAAGCAACCATCGGCGATCCCTATCCTCGGCATCGGCGGGTTTCATTCCGGACGCACGTGTGGCACCGTCTCGGTAACCCTTCAATCCATCCACTCTCCTTGGTCTATTCTCATTACCGCTCACGTGCTTCCCAAGCTCATCACCCGACTTCCCTTATTTGGGCCTTTAGATCGCCAGTGGACTCATCTGCAGGGACTTCTCTTGGCGGACCCGACCTTTCTCATCCCGGGACGCATCGATTTAATTCTCGGAGCGGACACGTATGGACTCTTCGTTCAATCGGAGATTCTCAAGGGGGCCGAGTATGAGCCCGTCGCTCAACGCACCATCTTCGGCTGGATCGTTCTCGGTCCACTCTCAATCCCATCACCTTCCGAGACCACGGCCTGCCAGGCCACCGCGAGTCAAGACATTCATGATCTTCTGACCTCATTCTGGCTTCAGGAGGAAGTCCCCTCCACAACCGCTAACCTCTTCACCCCGGAAGAAGCAGAATGTGAGACCCACTCCAAGGCCACCCACTCGCGGGACCCCTCCGGCTGTTACATTGTACGGCTCCCATTCAAGTCACCGGCCACACAACTGGGTAACTCTCACCAGACCGCTCAGGCGTGCTTGCAGCGCCTCTTACGACGCTTCTCATCGGACGAGGCCTACCGGCTCCGCTACTCTTTATTCATGCGCGAGTACGAAGAGTTACGGCACATGACAAGGGTCCCTCTTTGCCGCTCAGACTCAACTCCGGTATACTACCTCCCCCACCACGCGGTACTCAAGGGGGACGACATTAGGGTGGTCTTCAACGGCTCCAGCATCACCAGCACCGGCTTATCCCTGAATGATCTACTTCATACGGGCGCCAAACTGCAGTCTGACATTTCTGACGTCCTCCTCTGGATCCGGCTGCATCGGTACATATTTATCACAGACATCCGGAAAATGTTCCGTCAGATCATGCTTCACCCGGACGACTGGGTATTTCAGCGCATTCTCTAGGTTGATGATCAACTCAACGTGACCACCTTCGAGTTCACCACGGTCACTTACGGCACCAAATCGGCCCCATTCTTAGCGATCCGAGTTCTCCTCTGTCCTTGTGGAGGACGAGGGCGCCAACTATCCACTAGCTGTCGCTCCCCTCCTTAAGGGGAGGTACGTGGACGACACCTGCGGCGGTGCTGACACCCTTGAAGAATTGAAGGCGACGGCTCTCTAGCTGGTGGATCTCTGCAAGGAGGGCGGCTTTCCCTTGGCCAAGTGGCAAAGCAACCACCCGGGGCTGTGCATGTCCATCTCATCCAGCACGGGGTCACCGACGTCTCATTCTTTCTCAGACAGGCAGGGCAAGATCTTGGGACTCAACTGGCTATCGGAATCCGATTAATTCACCTTTTTGTCCCGGCATCCAACGGAGAACCCCGTCACCAAGCGAACTATCCTCTCCGAAGTCGCCCAACTCTTTGACCCACTCGGGTTCCTATCTCCCGTCACCATCAGAGCCAAGATGCTCTTGCAAGAATTGTGGTTAGAGAAAATCGACTGGGACGACCCCCTCCTCCGGCACCGGTGGACTCAATTCCGGAATAAGCTATTGGACCTCCTTCGCATCACTGTCCCTCGGTGGCTAGGCCTCTCTCCCTCAGCCCATATCAAGATACACGGTTTCTCGGATGCATCCTAACTAGCTATGGCGGCGGTCGTGTACATCAAAGTCACACTCCCTTCGGCGGAACCCACCATCACCCTGGTGTGCGCCAAGACCAAGGTAGCCCCCCTCAAGCGGCTCACCATTTCGAGGTTAGAACTCACGGCAGCCTTACTCCTACCCTTGGCCGCACTTTTCCTGTGGCTGGACTCTTCGGCGGCGCGCGCCTGGATCAATAGCCATTCCTCTCGGTGGAAGGAGTACGTCAGCAATCGGGTCGCAGCCATACAAGAGCTAGTCCCTCACGACCGGTGGCGTTTCGTACCCGGCTCCGAAAACCCGGCGGACTGCGCGACTCGTGGGCTCTCGGCGAGCCAACTTTCTTATCACTCACTCTGGTGGAGCGGACCCTTTTGGTTGGCCCTTCCCTCTCCCCACTGGCCAGATCTACCGTCATACTCGGACCACGCGGCCACCCTCGAGAAGCGGCCCGGCCTTCTGCACATGGCAACCTCTCCGCAATCCAAGCTATGGGATCTTTTCTCACGGTACTCCTCACTCACTCGGCTGCTCCGGATCACGGCCACTTGCCAGCGATGTTGTGCCACGTTCAGAGGAGTGCCTCAGTCATCCCTGGCCAACCCTCTCACTCCTGCCGACATGGAGGCGGCGCGGTTATTCTGGATTTGAGCGACTCAAGCGACCCACTTCGCCTCTGAACTGAAGGCCCTCTCGAGCGGAAATCTCTTGCCCAAGACTCATCTTCTGTCCAAGTTCACCGCGTTTATCGATCGTACTGGCATCCTCAGAGTTGGAGGTCGCCTCAAGAACTCGCTGCTTGATTCGGAGTGCATTCACCCTGCCATCCTACCGAAGACGACCGATTGTCCCAGCTTCTTATCGCGGACCCTCACCGGCGGACACTTCACGGCGGGTCAGCTGACGTTGACCTATCTACGCAGAGCCTACTGGATCATCACCGGTCGGGCCCCCGTGAGATCTCACATCCTCCGCTGTGTACGTTGTACCCGGTACCGCGGGGTTTGGGCCCAACAGCTCATGGGACAACTGCCGCCCTCCCGGGTCACACCTTCTCGCCCATTCCTCACTGCGGGAGTCGATTACGCCGGCTCTATCACACTAAAATTATGGCAAAGGCATGGCGCCAAGTGCCACAAGGCTTGGATAGCCGTTTTTATCTGCTTCACCACCTCGGCGGTCCATCTGGAGCTCGTCACAGAGTGCACCACCGAGGCCTTTCTCGCCGCCTATCGACGGTTTACTGGACGTCGCGGTATCTGTCACACTATTCAGTGACTGTGGCACTAACTTCCTTAGCGCGGACGCCGCCCTCAAACGGCTCTTTGATGCGGGATCAAGGGAGTCTCAAGAGCTCTCTCAACTATTAATCAACGACGGCACTCACTGGGTATTTAATCCACCGGCGGCCCCTCATTTTGGGGGGAAGTGGGAATCAGCGGTAAAATCAATCAAGTACCATCTACGGCGGACGATCGGCGACACACTCCTGACCTATGAGGAATTCTCAACTCTTCTGATCCAGATAGAGGCAGTACTCAACTCTAGGCCCCTGTGCCCCCTCTCGGACGATCCGGACGATATCTCGGCACTTACACCTGGGCACTTCCTCCTCGGCGAAGCTCCTACCACTATCCCGGAGCCTTCTCTCTCTGCGGTGCCAACTTCCAGACTATCTCGGTGGCAACTCATCCAGCAGCAGGTGCAACATTTCTGGGCCCGATAGTCAAGGGAGTGTCTGCAACACCAACTCTCAATCTCCAAATGGCGTCACCCATCCACGCAGATTTGAGTCGGCTCGCTAGTCCTGGTCACTGACGAGCGACTGCCCCCCTCCAAGTGGCCCATCGCTCGAGTCATCGCACTCCACCCGGGTGCGGACGGCCTCTGTCGGGTAGTCACGCTCAAGACGGCCACCACCGAATTTCGACAGCCCATCACCAAGCTGGCGATTCTCCCGGTCTCATCGGATCAACCTCCAGCCTGACTCGGCCTCACCGGAGCTGCATCAAGCCGTCATTCTCCAACCCTGTTGTAGAAGGCGGGCGGAATGTTCGGAAGTTATCACTCCTATCTCGAGCGGCCATTTCCGAGCCGACCAATCAGCGACGGACCCGAGTTGACGGATCGATATATCGACTGTCGCGAAAGATCGCATGCTCACATCGACGCTCTCGTTGTCGCGATCATTCGTTTTCGGGTCTTCTGTGTAAGACGGATGCAATACGTGTGTCTCTCGTGACTGTCGAATCGAAAGGCAAATACTGCTTAATAATACGGTGATCCTCAGACGCTTCAAATCGCGAGTGACTCCTCAGTGACTGACATTCCGGACACCCTGCTGTGAACCGCGCGAGCACGGCCCCTGGGCCTCACGCCGAGAGACACAAGGTTACGATCGGAAGTGCGCGTGGCCGGTACAACGAGGTATTTGTCCGTTGCGCGAAGAGTTCGCCGCCTGTTCCCTCGCCGGGCACCAGATTACGTGTACCGAGTAATAACACTAATGTTTAATGTTTTAGTATGTTAAAATGAACATCAATTATCATGTTTCTTGATATTTATCTTCTTCTTTCGTAATAATCCGTTCCGAAAAAGACTAATTGTAAGTGCAGTTGGAACGTTAACCATGTGTATTGTTATGCATTTAAATATTAAATTTAAATATTATTATGTTAAAGTAAGAGTTTTTAATGTAAGACTTTTTTTAGACAGAAAAGCATATTGGCCAGAACGGGGATTTCTATACATTACATTTACAAATTTTAGTTTTTATGTTTATAAATATTTATTATATGTATGTAAATTTATTGTGTATCCCCGTAGGGTTTACAAGGCGTTTTTTTATAAGGAACGTACCCAAACCTCTTACAAATCACTCCCCTACGCGCCCTGGCCATATGCGACCTTACATTTCATGTATTTCCTCTCCCTTCGTCTTTCATTTATCCATCTTCTTCCGCCTTCCTTGCTTCAGCCATTTCTCCGCTTCCCTTTTTTCTGCCACTGCTCTCTCCCCTTCCTTCCTTTTCTCTCTCCTCCCGCTCGCCGCTTTCCCTTCTTCCTATTCTGTCTTCGCTCTGAAACAAAACCTACTTCCTTTCCCTTCCCCTCCTCTTTACTCCAGCCATCTCTCTCCGCCTTCCTTGCTTTTGTCATTTCTCCGCTTCCCTCCCTTCTGCCACTGTTCTCCTCCTCTCCCTCCTTTTCTCCCGCCTTTCCACCCCCCTGTTCCGTTCCCGCTCCTCCCGCCTCACTCTTACTCGCTTTTCTTCCTATGGCCCTTGGCCTCGTTCGTATCCCTACCCTCGCCTCCACCACTTTATCCTCGTCCATCTTCACTTTTAATCTACTCCCCTAGCTCTTTTCTCCTTGCCACCAAAGTCCAGCTCACGCACGCTCGTCACCTCTTCTTCTTCCTCGTTCTACCCCTCCGTCGCTTTCTCTCCTTCTCTTTCCATCACCTGTCTATCTGTCCAGGCCCTTTCGATCGTTCGATCCATCGATCTGTCGCGACGACTCCCTGCTCCGTTCCATACCTGCTGCGCCACCATCGACAATCCCTCTGTCTCGCGACAGATCGATCGCCCGATCGATACTCCCTGCTGCCAACTCGCTTAGCTCCCTTGTGGTGTAACCTGGGCTGCTACCTTTATTTCTCCAATCCCGCCCTTCTCCCTAACCTCACTTTCCACGTGCCAATTCACTAACGTTTCCCGTCTCCTCCAGATCACCTTCCGCTTCGCCTCCATTCTTCCGTCTTCCTTTCACGCTCCCTTATCTACCCCTTTCAATCCACACCTTCCTCACCTCTCAATCTCTCCCTTCATCTTCTTTCATTTTCCTACCATTTATTCACTTGTTCCCCCGCCGAGGGCTACGAAGGAACTCTCAAAATATTTATTATATTTGCAATCTTTATATTTATAAATTTCAATCCTTAGGGCGGCAGTGTGGTCTAGTGGTAGAGCGCCAGACTCGTAATCTGAGGAACCAGGTTCGAGTCCACGCCCCGGAGGACATGTGTAATAAGACACGCAAATAGTCTCTCTCTCCCCCCTCCCTCCATCTCCCCCTTTCTCTCCCTCTCCCTCCCCTTCCTCTCTCTCTCTCTCTCTTTCTCTCTCTCTTTAAAATGCTATAAATTGAAAAATATTACTTTTTTATCTACTTCTGATACCGGTTTCCAAAATGATCGGTAACAAAAAATTATATACTTTATTATAGCACTCTCCAAGAAATTCAACACCTACTTTATGTACAATTCTTTGAGATTCAGTCATTCGGAACCTGTTTCCAAAAAGATTGGTAACAAAAAATAGTTACATTTTATAGCACTCCCCGGGAAACTATACTCCTATTTCATATATAATTCTTTGAGATTCAATCAATTATTTCCCAAAAAATTAGAAAAATTAAAAAAACCGGTTTCCAAAAAATCGGTAACAAAAAACTATACACTCTACACTCCCCAGGAAATTCTACCCCTATTTCATATACTTTTAATAAAAATTTGGTCAAATGGTTTTTAATTCGAAAAATTTCTCATACCGGTTTCAAAAAAAATCGGTATTAAAAATATATGAAATTTAATAAAAATTCGGTCAAATGGTTTTTAATTGAAAAAATTTTGGTACCGGCTTCCAAACAGATCGGTAACAAAAAATTATACACTTTATGGCACTCCCCGGAAAATTCAACACCTATTTTATATACAATTCTTTGAAATTCCGTCAATTATTTCCCGAAAAATTGAAGAAATTAAAAAAACCGGTTTCCAGAAAATCGGTAACGAAAAACTATACACCCTATAGCACTCCCCGGGAAATTCCACCTCTATTTCATGTAGGGGAGACCGGGGCTAAGCCGACAGCGAGGCGAACTTGACACTAGGCTTTTTGCCAATTTAAATCTATCGTAGAAACTTGCCTTTGCTACTGTAAATGCGTCTTTATGTGCCAGTATTATCAACGGAATTTGGTAACATTCTGAGTTATAGTGTAATTTTTAACGCGACATAAGTGTTTTTAATAGTGAAAAGTAATTTTTCTGATCTCTCGAAAATGTCTACTCTTTCATCGAACTTTACTCTTGCGAATCTACCGGTAAGTGATTTTGATGGGAAATTCGATGCTTTATACGAATCCGATAATTTTTGCATATTTTCAAAATTTATATATTTTTGGAGTAACAAAAGTAAAAAACGACGTTCGGGGCTAAGTCAACACGACGCCACCGGGGCAAAGACGACACTAACCTAAAGTGACATTATCGATAAGTCGACACGACGCCACCCGGGGCAAAGTCGACACTAACCTATTTCGGTAAACTGTAAATAAGTGCTTTTAGCTTGCAAAATGGTTCGTACATACAAGAGAAAAAGACCAGTAATTGATAAAGAAAACATGAAAAAAGCTGTACTTGCTGTGAAAAAAAGAAGGAATGAAAATTAAACATGCTGCAGAAATATTCGAGGTGTCAAGACCGACGCTGGCTCAAAAACACTACTGAGGATGAACTAGAGAAGAATATAGCGACCGTACACGTTCGTGGACACACTACGGTATGTAACAACTATGAAGTATGAGCGTACGCTCACTGCATTACTGTTACGTCCAACCCCGGGATTAGGATATGAAAATCTGGGAAGCAAGGAAAAGGCTAGCCAGAGGGGTCGGGGGAAGGGAGGACGCAGCTAGATACTTACAAATGTCGCTCGCAGGTACGCGCTCGGAGACGCGTGGCGCGAGCCGAACGCACTTTTATGACTCAGAAAGGGTCAACGTCTGTAAGGACGTTAGGACGCCTTTCGTGAGCGGTGCGATCGTCGGTCCTTTTTCGAGTCAGAGAATTTAATCCCTTTAACTCAGGATCGGACCTCGTGCAATTTCGAGAGGTGGATAGTAGTGGGTCTTAAGTTATAAATGAATGCAAATTGAAATTAATATTTAACATAAGATGAACATTTATTACAATAATATAAGCTAGGTGAACAATAAATGAGAATTAGGCAAAATAAAATTGAATACATTTATAAGTGTGAGTGTCGGATGTATGTGTAACGAGTGTGTGTATTTCTCGCGGGTGTTACATAGGTGCGGAGGTGATCGGGCAAGATCTTTAAGGAAAAACTTATTTGAAAATGAACATCTTGCCCGCTATTATTACAATCGGAATCAGTAGTGAGATTACATGAATTTAGTAAGTGTTATGTACGTGTGTAAATTAATTTAAATCGGGCTTAAAATTAAAGTATATGTAAATTGTGAAGTTAAACATATAAGAATTAAAAAAAAAAATTAAAATTTATTCTAAGATTACGATCTCTGGATCGTCTAATTCCTCGAGATCGAGAGTCGAGGCGGTCGAAGAGGTAGGAGACGGACTTCGGGAAGAGGAGGGAGAATCGGGAGGTTCTAGGAAGCGGGCTGGATCGGGGTTGACGGGGACCACGCGAGGAGGGACCACGCGAAACGGAGCCACGCGGCAAATAGGGCGATGTTCAACAATTGGGCGAAAAGGCAGGACGACTGGGCGATAGGGCAGGATGTTAGTGGGACGATTCTGGTTCGAACAACCGGGTTCTTCTGTAAACGTTGGTAGGGGCGGTGGGATGGCGAGTCGCGGAGGACCGGCGTTGAGCTGCTCTCGGGGGAGTTCGATCTCCCATCGCGCCCGCTTGTTCTGGCGATTTCTCTGTCGCCTGATCGTGCGGAGATTCGGTTCCTGAGGGGCCAGGACTTTCGGGTCCACTAAAATTATTTACTTATTTAGTCGATCTCTCTCGGACCCGGTCGGAAGCGAGCAAAAGGAAATCGTCGAGCCTAAAGAAGGGGGAGAGAGGTCAGTGGACGGCTGGGCCCACGACAGCGACGAGACGCCGGGAGCCAAGTCAGGCCTATCACAACGCCAACGACCGCTGGGAACTCGATGCCTACACTAACCGACCCACGAGCATAAGCTCAGGGAGGTCAGTGGACCAGCTGAGTCCACGACAGCGACGAGACGCCGGGAGGTAAGTCCGGCCCACGACAACGCCAACGACCGCTGGGAACCTGCTGCCTACACTGACCGACCCCCAAATATATAATGAGCTTCCGGGGTCCGACAATCGATAGACCGTTTAAGGGGGGCGATAACGCGAAAAAAGAAGGATTAAGAAAATTATGGGACTTACTACTTGATGACTTGAGTTCGAACGAGTCTCAGTACGCCTTCTCTCAGTAATGGACGTTGGACTCGTCGGTGAGTGAGTTGGGGCGACTGGTCCGTCGGATCTGCTGCACTGACTCTAAACGTGACTCTAAACGTGAGTTTCTCGAAACGAATGAGGTTTAGATTGTAACCGAGCAATGCGGACTTGAACTGAGAAAATTTCTCTGAGCCGGGTCCTGCGACGTCGCGATTTAAATAGGAAGGTTCGAAGGATGGAAGGGGTGGATTTTGTGTGGGATGTGTCTGGTTTTTGTTTAAGGGATTTCTGGTTGGCGGGATGTTTCTAATTATTATTTAAGGGAATTCTTATTGGGCGAGATGTTTCTTGCCTTAGGGGTAGATTTTGGGTTTACGCCTATCCTAGAAAGCTAGAGACGGTTATCGATTTTTACGGTTTTCTATTGGTGAGCCCCCTCTTAAAGCCCCACTGTCTTATTGGGGGTGTAACCCATCGGTTCTTTCCAGTGACCCATTCGTTTTTCGGCTATCGCCGATTTCTCTTTTATTGGGGTTCCTTACTTATCTCGCGACCCTGTTTCTATATCGACAGACGATGCATACTTCTTAATCTTAATGGTAGGTACAAGGCAAACAGAACTTCCGCCACGTGTATTTACAATCACGTCCTAGGCCTTGTCTCTGTTTGTCGGAAACATCGCACGAGCAATTTTAGAAAGCTCGCTCGATGCAATAAAGATCATCAACTCTGTCTGAGATTCAGGCCCTTTTGGCGCGTCTTGTCGCCGGGTTTATAGTTATGGGCTAGACAAGGTTGATAGAAAAATCCCATTACGTATGCCCCGTCTGTCAATATTTTACTCCGAAGGGTCGTTTCGTCGCCTAGGCAAATAGCTATTATAGTTGTAATAAAAAAAAAAAGGAATGCGAGATCTAACCTCGCCCCGATCGATAACCGTCCGTACTCGGCTTGTTTATCTAATATTAGGGCTATCTTAGGTGTATAAGAATTCCCGCGAAAAAGGGACATCGTGGAGTCCGCTGGACGTAACATTACGAAATTCATATTTTTAATGCAGGTTGTAAATGCTGAAGCAGAAGAGACTTTAGTGAAATATTTAACCCACTGCAATGACATGTATTTTGGACTGTCAGCAAAAGAAATTCAAGGATTGGCTTTCGATTTTGCCAGAAAGTTGGAACTGCCAATGCCAACATCGTAGGAGAAGACTCGCATGGCGGGTAAAGATTGGTTGACCGCATTTTTGAAAAGACACCCGATTCTGTCATTGAGGAAACCAAAGGCAACAAGCCTCGCGCGCGCAACCAGTTTTAACAGAACGAATGTCCAGGCTTTTTTTCGAATCTTCAAATTGTCCTGAATCGTCACCTTTTACCGCCGCAAAGAATATAGAACATGGACGAAACGGGGGTTACCACGGTTTAGAGACCTGATAGAATAATCGCTCAACGAGGGACCAAACAAATCGGAAGAGTAACTTCCAGTGAACGGGGCACACTAGTTACTTTAGCAATGGCAGTGTCAGCGGAAGGGCGATCCTTGCCACAGTTCTTCATTTTTCTACGCAAGCGTTTCAAGGACTATTTTTTGCGTGATGGACCGACCGGCTCTGCAGGTGCTGCAAATTCTAGTGGGTGGATGAACGCGGAGCATTTCAACCAATTTTTGAATTTTTTCCAACAACACGTTCGTGCCTCCGTCGATGCCCCCGTCTTGCTCGTGCTTGATAATCATGAATCTCATTTTTCCATCACTGGACTCGATTTCTGCAAAGAAAACGGGATAATTGTGCTGTCACTTCCACCTCACTGTTCCCACAAGCTGCAACCATTAGACCGCACTGTCTACGGTCCTTTGAAAAAAGCTATCAATTCTCAGTGTGACAGTTGGATGACAGCAAATCCTGGAAAAACGATGACAATTTATGACATCCTTGGAATAATTCAAAAATCATTGCCACGAGCTGCGACGTATGAAAACATAGTTTCCGGTTTTGAATGCACAGGGATTTCGCCATTCAACAAGAACATTTTTCAAGACGTTGAGTTCCTTCCAAGCAGCGTTACAGATCGGGATAATCCTGTGCTTTCCAGTTCTTTTGCGGCCAATAAAAATGACGAGACTTTGCATTTGCCATCGACATCTGCGGCTTCCGTAACATTGGAAATAACAAATGAACCCATTGCTTCGTCATCTTTTCGTCACAAAGATCAGGAAAATATTGCTGCCATCATGAACACCGAAAGAAGAAACAGGAGCACTTTAACTGAAACCACATATAGCAAGGAACTCAGCTTAACACTCGAAACCATCCAGCCGTTTCCAAAAGCAGCGCCAAGGCAGCAAACACGAAAAGAGCGCAAACGCAGAAAAAGTGCTATTCTTACAAATTCACCGGAGATGACAGAATTAGCAAGAGAACAAGCGGAAGCAAAGCAAAAGAAAGAGAGGACAGCTCTTCCAAAGAAGAAAAACTCCAAAAACACTGCTCCGGAAAATCCAGCTGAAAATCCTACTGTCCCAAAAAAAGAGGACGTCTTAAAAAAAAATGTAGAACAACCATCGACGAGCACCGGAAGTGCATCGAAACCGGTTTTGCGAAAATCAAAGGCAAAAAAGGTCACTGTTTCGTCCGATTCCGATGACGATTTAAAGAACATCTGTTGCGTGTGTTTGGAAAACATTTTATTAGCTTCTAATAACAAACAATGCATCTTATGCAACCGTATAGCTCATGACGAATGTTGACGAATGTGTGCACACATCTGATTGCGAGTTTACGTGTATAAATTGTTTTTCAGACAGTTCAGAAAAAGATAATTAAAAATTTAATCTTTTTTTTCTCATTATTTTAAATAATTGTTTACTTTATTCCGGCTTTTTATTTCTAATACACAATATCTTTTCATTTGATAAACAATGTATTTTTATTTTTAAACAATAAAAAAAATAAGTTCCAGATCAAATTGTGTCAATCAAACAAAGTGTTGAGTTTGCCCCGGCGGGGTGTCGAGTTTGCCCCGTCATTTTTTAATTCGAAAATTTGTCTTCGCGTCACTTTTCCTTTCCTGGCGGCAAAACAAAGCGACGTACAGCAAAACTTCCTGAATCAATTTTGTACCTGAAGAAACACTCTTTAAATATATATCACTGAATTTGCCTAAAAATTTTAATTAAATATTAAAAATTGCCTTTGAAAAAATAGTGTCGGCTTAGCCCCGGTCTCCCCTACCCTTGATAAAAATTCGGTCCACTAACAAATGAGTAATTCGCGGACAGACGGACGGACGGACAGACAAACAGTCGGGTTTTATATAATAGTATGATATTTATTTATTTACTTATTTATAAATATAAAAATTAAAATTTGTAAATATAAACGCAAATGTAACGTATAGCGTATCGTCGATTTGCCAACTCGAGACTCGGCATTCAGCGAGACGCAAGGAGCGATACCCGAAATGCGTGGCATCGTGGCATAGCCGGCGCGTGCTAAGCAGCTACGTCACAGCTCAAGAGAAAAGGAGACAGCAGATCGTATGTCTGTCCTTTTCTCCCCGCTCGAAGCTTGCCGAGTGCCGAGTCAGCCGACTGGCATATCTTCTCCATCTGAGTAGTTCGGACACGAACCATAGCTCGGACACAAATTATGTGTGTATTGTTAGTGCTGGTCTACAACCTTGCTTTAAGGGTATTTAAGCTCTATCCTTTATTTTATAAATGTACATATAGTCCGGAAACATTCCTTCGTTAAATTACCGCAGGCCTTCAACCGATCTGTCTCTCTATATAATTGGCACGCACCTCTGCTTCTCTCTCTCCGAATTACTTTTCCTACTTTTCGCTCGGCGACTCGATTCTATCTTGGCTAATTATTGGTTAATATACGTCAACGTTTTACGCCTTACGTCTTATATTGTGGATTACCGTCTTTAAGGTTTATTTAAGAGCTTAGGGCTTAGAGCTTAGAGCTTACGGCTTAGAGATAAAATATTTTCTTAAAGCGAGGTTGTAGACCGACACTTACCGAGCGTAACAACGTAGTTGACGTTTACTTTCTCAGGCAGCGCGCGGCGCGTCAGTATACGTCCGCTGGAACAGAATGATCCGGGTGGCCGCTCTCAGGTTTCTCTTTTGGACAAAATCAAAAGAGCGGAAAATTTGCATCTCAAAATTTGCGGAAGTTATAGCTATCACAGACATTTCTCAAAAAATAATGGATCTTTGATCGTGTATAAACCTCGGTCTAATCAACCAAATCTTAAAGAATTATATATGAAATAGGGTAGAAAAGACCGAAGAAGATAATGGAATTAGAAATAGCCCGATATCTCAAAATTTGCGGAAGTTAGAGCATTGATACCCACTTACAAGGTGTACACACACACACACACACACACACACACACACACACACACACACACAGACATTTTTTTAAAAAGTGTATTTTTTGACGTTTTAGAACATTCTAAACACATTAACAGCGACAACTCCAAAAAAATTTTTTTCATGAAAAAAGGAGATAAGTATGCAAAAGATACTTCAAAGAGAATAAGAAATAGAAAATTAAATAAAATTTTTGTTAAGTGTGGCATATTCCTCCTCAGTTACTCTAACTATATTTTTGATGTGTTATATACTGCAATCGATTAATTGTGTAGTTAAGAAAAATAACATAGTTAAAAAATATTGGCGAATAGAATTTTATTCAATGAACTAAAATAGACCTCACTTACTCTATAGAAAAATTCCGCATATTTCCAATATAATATATATAATATCTAAATACACAATACATATTTCATAGTGTGCATATTTTGCATATTTAATATATTCAACATAATATACATAACAGTTCTTTCTATAATGATTCTTTTCTTAAATGTTATTCTTTTATGCTCTACAAGTTGTATGTACATATTTTAAATAGTTGCGTGCATTTTAAAGATTAAAACAAATCGAATATATATATATATATATATATATATATATATATGTTATAGATAATATAGATTATTCATAATACGCAAAACATATCTTTATCTTTACTTTCAGGAATTTAAAATCTTCTTTGCCTCTAAGAAGATTGCCCACAACATCGCCTGCGCATAAGCATATCGTACACAATGTGATATTGCACGTATATAAGTTGTATACATGACTATATTTTACATACAAATACACACACCACTATACTGTACATATAAAATAGTAAAATCGTAGGAATTTCGTATATATTTTATATTTATTGTACTTTATTTATATTTTAATTTTATAACTATATAATAATGACACGTGTATAAAGTGTTAACAGTACGACGCTATTGGCAATCAAATTGTAGGCAAATAGAGCCTTTCTTTTAATTGCCTTCTACGATGTTCATTAAATCGCTATTTGCTTCAAAGGGTTGAGTTCCCTTTACAGACAGGAATAAATCTTACACGAAGTGGATGAGCAGGGCGAAGTATCAAATCAACCTGCATCCGAAGATTCTTTAAATAATCAATAGGCTCCAAGTAGAAATTGTGTACCAGAGGAGCTATCATCGCCTTCAATTCCAGCATAGCAAATCGTTGGCCTATAATTGGGTCCGTAAAAAAAATCAGTTTATGTAACAAGGTATTATACATATATTTATCAGGATATAAAAAATTATAGCTTACCGATGCAGTTACGTGGTCCAGCACTGAACGGTAAATACGAATAAGGATGACGATTTCGGATCTTCTCAGGCAAGAATCTATCGGGATCAAATATTTCTGGATTTGACCAAAAATTTGGATCTCTGTGGACCGCGTAAATATTAAGAGACACGAATGTTCCAGCCGGTACTAAATATGACTCTGAAAAGAGTGAAAAGTTTATTATACAATAAGATTTACAAATAATATTTGAAAACCTTATTAAAATTTAAAATAAATGTACATCTAATATAAATAGAAATAAATGCCTATAGTTTGCATAATAAAAAATAGAATGTAGGGGAGATCGGGGCGGAGTCGTCACCGAGGTGGAATCGTTACTACAATACTACAATATCTGAAAATCTGTATGTTGTGTGAACTCGCCATTAATATTGTAAACACTACTTATGGTGTCCATCCCATACAGCACAGATTCTTGCAGAAAGCTTTCAGAAAGGTTTCAAAAACATTTCAACCTTTCACATTTCATGTGCAACATCTCTGAAAGAATTCTGTAATATGTCATATAAAATGTTGCAATAAAAATGTTTTTTAAACCTTTCACATGAAGATAATTTTTCAAAACTTTTAGTTGAGTTATCTCTGAATCGTTTTACATGAAATAATTTTATAAATCTTTCAGTTGAGCTGTTTCTGAAACCTTTTTCACGCAATACATTTGAAAACTTTCAATTAAGTTAGTTCTGAATCGTTTTATATGAAATGATTTTGTAAACCTTTCACTTGAGCTGTTTTTAAAACCTTTCTCACGCAATAAATTTGAAAACTTTCAGTTAATTTATTTCTGAATTGTTTCATATGAAATGATTTTGTAAACCTTTCAGTTGAGCTGTTTCTGAAACCTTTCTCACGCAATGAAAATTTTTAATTAAGTTATTTCGGAAACATTTTATAAAATATAATTTTGCAAACCTTTCAGTTGAGTTTTCGATAAAACTTTATACACATCTAGGAGAAGTAAATATAGACGAATTTAGAAATTTTTAATTGCAGCCCTAAAAACCACACCCATCATATGTAGGGCTTTTTGTTTTTCTCAGATATAAATTATTAATATTATATTATGTAATGATATACAAATCTTTTATATTAACCCGTTGTGGTCACACCTCCTAAAAATAACGTAATGGTTACACGGGGTCCAATGGACCCCACAACAGTTGCCATTTGCGTTCTTTTTGATGTATCCACTCAAACCTTGAACTGGAATTTAGTTTATGACTTCCTCTTTATAATCCAATAATTTTAAAAAATTTTTTATGTTGAAAAAACGCGAGAAAATTTTTTTTTTTGAGAAATTTGACTTTTTTACAAAAATATTCATCAAAATTTTTTTAAATAGAGCAAAAAAACTTCCTGTGTTTTACTCTCAAAATAGTATACTTTTAAGGAAAAAAAAAGCCTGGGGTTCACTGGACCCCATATGACTACAACGGGTTAATATTTATAATATATCAATTGTTGTTGCGTTGTTTTTAATATTTGCTAGTTAATAAATAATTTCAAATTTTTGAACACTAAAGATGCTTATATACGATACGAACATAAACTAGAAGGAATTAAGCATCAGAACCAGAGGATTGTCACTAGCCCGTTCGATCATGGAAGTCAAGCAACTTTGAGTGCAGTTACTATTTGGATGGGTGACCGCCTGAATAAAAAAAATACGGCAATATATTTCGGAAACCTTTCAACACACTTTCTCAGAAAGGTTTTCAAGTGCGAGAATCGCGGACATTTTGCTATTCCAGAACTGTCTCAGAGATGTTGCAGAAACATTTTGCAATATTTATGACATGTTTCAACTCCATCATATGAAACATTTTTTAAATATCTCTGAAAGGTTTCAGATATATTTTGGTAACCTTTCAGCACGGTTTCAGAAAGGTTTTAAGTGCAAGAATTGCGGACATTTTGCTATTTCAGAGATGTCTCAGAGCTGATGCAGAAACATTTTGAAATATTTATGAGATGTTTCAACCTATCGAATGAAACATTCCTTAGATATTTCTGAAAGGTTCTTGTGCTGTATATATCATGGAGGCTTCGGGCGAAAATCAAAGTCAAAAAAGCAGCAGTGGTCGGATTCCGGCGAGGACTTGGATAATATGTGCTGCGAGTGCTCAGAGATGACAGAATAGAGCTGACGAGAAACGTGCGAGCGTAGGGCACATAAGTGTGTGCTTTTCTTGTAATTATTTTCCGCCATCGTGTTTTTAATTAATGTTTTCATTTTTCTATTAAAAAATAATAAAATGTATTCTATTATTTTTCATGATCGGAATCATGTATTTTTATTTAAAATTCAGTCCCAGAATGGGGTGACGACTCCGCCCCGGCAATTTTGACATTTCAATTTTTGCACTTTTGTCGTTTTTACTTTATACTTGTTGAACAAAGCGACGTAAACCAAAAATGCTTTTATAAATTTTGTAGCCAAGGGTTCTCTTTACAACGGTATACCACATTTCACTAAAATTATTTGTTAAAAATCGGCACCAAAAAAATTGTGACGACTTCGCCTCGGTCTCCCCTATTTAAATTTTATTAAGTGTCATTTGCTTAACATTATTGTCGGAAAATATTATATATGTTGTATTATGTGTAGTATGTATAAAACTTTTTTTAAATATTATATAAATAAACTTATCAATAAAACTTATATGAGTTTTTAAATCTTTGCAATATATAAAAATATTGCATTTATGCGTATTTTTAGCTTATACATTTAATGAAAATGTTGCGCAATATATTATATTAAAAAATGTAAACAATAAGAAATTGGTTAGATACATACGTAATTTTACGTCTTCCGCAGGATATCGTGATATTAGAAATACGCTAGGATATAAGCGTAACGCTTCCTTTATACATCTATCCAAATATGGTAGGTCTTGTAATAATTTCATAGTATACCTCTCATCATTCTCTTGCAAAGCAATATCGACTTCGTTCCTGACACGATCCTGTATCATTATCGTTAATTAAAAAGCGATTCTTGTCATATATGGTAATGTTTTTATGTAGAAACAAATATTTTCCCAAAAGTTCCAAGAATATTTATTTCACAAATGTCTCCTTTAATTTGTTTAAAAATGTGTATTGTCACGTCTTTTTACTCGGTAATCACGCCCGAGACGCAAGACAGATCAAAAGGGGGGGGGGGGAGTGAGAAGAGAAGGATGACGGGCCTCTCCCACTGGTCTCTCGCACAGTCCGACAATTATACTCAAAATCAAAGTTGGGCGTAAGCTCGCGTCCACGAATTTATACCAAAATCGCGAAAACCCGAAGATAAACACAATAGCGTAATTAGTCAGACGTGCGAGAGATCGGCCAGCTCGACCTAACAGCGATGGGCGGGGTTGATAAAGGGGCAGCGCAAAATTTCGGCGGGATGACGATTAAAAAACACTCAGATATTTAATAATAATCAGTAACAATGTTTATTATAACTTGGCAATACTGTAAAATCGCAGGTCAAGAAAACTGAATCGAATGACAGAATAGCGGAAATCAGACATGAATCGGAGTAGAATAATTAAATAGCGGAAATTAAATAACAATCGGAACTGAATATTGAATACTAGAGTTGATAAAATTACAGTATTGAATTAATGTGCAGTTGGAAATGAGGATTAACAGAACTTTAGATGAAATCCGTTAATTACGAAGTCTCTAATGACGTATTACAGGAAAGTGACGCAAAATAATAGTAGTCAATAGCATTAAACAAAATTTAGCAGGACAAGTAAGAGAACTGAAAGTGAAATACAATCGAATAGGAAATCAGTACTGCGCCACGCTCAGCGCGCAGAGTTCTATCGCCAAGATATAATACGCTCGCGGAAGGCGCAAGACTCTAAACACAACGCAAAATATAGTACGACTATTAACACAAAGGTATGACACGCGCGAGAACACTTCGGATGACGCAAAATATAGTACGCAAGGATACTTAATATACCGCGGAATATCGCACACGATTACACCAAGTACAACGCAAAATAGAACGCAAAATAATACAATATGCAAAATCGGGAACGCGAACGCGAAACCAAACGCGAGTAGGTACACCGCACGACTCTAATGGCGGATATAAGATTTCCGTACTTCGGCCGCTGCCGAAGACTCGTCTGTGTCCACTCACGGTCGCGATCTCCAAAAGCCTGCGGTAATCGATGATCCCTTTAGCCGACGAAACTATCCCGGGGCCTCTTGCCTAATACCGACCGCCAACGCTAACATAAAAAATTACGCCCTTTCGGCGATGTTCACTAATAAACCGCGGGTCGGCACCAGAGCGGGAACGTGACCTGGAGGGCTAGTTCGTGGCTTTACAAAGAGTTCAAGGCAATCTCACCGGTGTACAGACTTTTCTCTTGCGCCGCTGCTCTCAATTCTCGAAGCTCAGGCCGGGACTTCGTCAATCTTATACGGTAGCCAAAGGTGCGCGGAAACAACGCGATTTTTCACGCCGGAGGATGACCAGGAAGAAATCGAGCGGAATTCGCTCGATGACGCGCCCCACTCAGGGAGTTGCGCGGCCCTTCTGCGCGATAACGCGAGCAATTAGGGACAGACTCGCGAGCTTGCGACAAGATCCTCGCGCAGTCTGCCCCTGACCGTCGGCAGCAGATCCTGCGGGGGCGTCTGGCGACCCCTTGCTCTCGCAGCGGCCTCCCGGAATTCTTCTTAGCAGTCTGAACTTGCTGGTTCTCCGAGAGTCCTCTTCGGTGACCCTAGGGTGGTGGCCAGCCACCCCGGGTCCAGTCATTGCAGTGGAGGTCGGCCGGGGAACTTGTTCATTCTCGGCGCCGAGGGCCCTGCCACAATATATTTCGCCAAACACCGAATCACGCGCAACGCGCGTGCTTTCTGCGCCCTTCTCGTCTCGCCGCCCGCGAGACGCCGCCAATAATCGCCTTTGTCTCCGGCCCTCTCCTCAGGTCTCGAATCCCTGGATTCCGATGAAGACGTCTGTTCCAGATTCCGTTCACGTTGCGCCGTCCAATCAGATGGCAGCATCGATCGGATATCGACGGGCCGGATCGACGCGGCAATTTGCGCAAGCACGGGCGCGCTCATCGCCAACTTCCTCCTCGCGACACACAGAGTCGTACAAATGGCCGCGCTGTGATCAGACGTACGACGTGTGCTGTGCTTTTCTCGAGGAATACTCGAATTGAACTGCCTATCGCAGTAATTGAAGCTGCTGAGAGACTAAGCTAACGTGTGACAAGATCGCTCAGCCAGCTCTGGTACACCAACACGACGACTCAGGCTCACATGTGCGCGAGTGCCGACCGCCACGTGTCTCACCGGCTCACGGGCTAAGCATCACGAGGAAGGCAATTAATATAATTGTTTCGCCCACTCACGGACATTAAATACTTCTCATTAATACGCCGCTCATCGTTTCTCAGGTCAGATTGTATATTTTTTGACGGATTAAAGACGGCACAGACTGTGGTCTGAGTTACACATAAATTAAAGAGTAATTAGTGAACACCTTCCACGCGCGTCCTTCTCATCCCGCTTCCATCGCCGGGAAAATCAGCGATTTCGCGAACAATGTCCCTGTATGTTTGTTTCGGTGAGGTGCCAATAATCGTACAAAATAAAAGAAAGGGATTAGTAATAGAAAACGCAAATATTATTAGGCCCCTAGAGATTTCGATTTTGCTCTATTGGATCGTCCTCGGGCGCGAACCCGCGCCTTGTGATGGCGGCGGAGACGCTGCCACGATGCAGCAGAACTGCAACGTTACAGTATATAAAATACATTTAAAACATAAAAGAATATCTGAAATATGTGAAACAGCGTGTCATGTACCCCCCCACACAGAACAAAAAGCTCTAATAGACGTCCACTAGACGTCCATCATGGAGATTAAAAACCTCCATTAGACATCCATGTAACTTCCCACAGACGTCTACTACACATCCATAGTTCCGCATTTCACACCTCCATTCAACCTCCATTAGACGTATCTTGATAGATCTCTTTTAGACATTGTATAGATTAACCATAAATGTTTAATGGAGCTTTGGTGGATAAATAAAATATGTTAACTAAACGTTTTATAGATTCTTTATGGATATACGTCTTGTTTATAAAGCTTACAACAAATTAGATAATTATATTTATAAGTTGTATCCAACAAATTATCAAAAATTGCTTCGCAGACCCCTACTGCTATATCTGAGGTATCACTTTAGATGATCTGCAGCAAAGAATTATCGCAGTCAGGCCTCTCACAGGCTCGCCTCTTATACTAGCGCATGATGTTCTTTTATTACGAGAAAATACTGGCGCATGGTAGCCGCGTCGCGGCAGTGCGCGTTACTAACGCTCGCGGTCGCGTCATTCGATATCCACCAAAACTCCATTAAACGTCTAGTTAACGTTTATAAATTATCCATCAGAGCTCCATTAAACATCTATGGTTAATTTATGCCCACACAGCACACTGTATCCTGAGGATATCCCAAATTGTCCCAGATTTCTAAATACAATCCCACGGATATCGCAGCAGGTTTTGCCCGAGATAACATCCTTTCATGGTGTCCCATGAGCGTCGAGTTGGGCGCCTTAACTCTGCGTTTGGTTCATCCCACAACGCCAGTTCTGCTTACCAAAAATGGCCCACTTGGCACTCTGATCTGTTAAAAGATGCTCGTGGCTTCATAGTTCAAGAAAGCCAGAGATCTCACCCATTTAAAGGTTGAGAATAGGTTGAGGTCGTTTCGGCCCCAAGGCCTCTAATCATTCGTTTTACCAGATGCGACTCGCGCGCGTTCCGTGCGGAACGGCCGAGTGCCAGCTATCCTGAGGGAAACTTCGGAGGAAACCAGCTATTAGATGGTTCGATTAGTCTTTCGCCCCTATACCCAGTTCCGACGATCGATTTGCACGTCAGAATCGCTACGTTGTAACTTACTGGAAGACTCGTTCTCGGCGGGGCCCCTTAGTGGATTTCAATCCAGATTTCTCGACAAGGTAGAGCGCAAGGTAACAATGGGCGCTCATTCTCCAGGTAATAGATATTGTCAGCTTTTCCAAGGTAACTAACTGACAGCGCGAACCGGGGCCAGCGCCTCGAACGAATCCTCCTTACCGCGGGGACGCCAGAGTGGTGACCTTACAAAACGATGTCCCACGGAGAGCTTCCGGATCGGTCGTCGAAGGGTGTTCACCTGGCTCGGTCCAGTACGACAGTGAGGAGACAATGGCCCGCCGGGATCGTGCCGGTTCCCCGCGCCTGCGCAGTGGCGCGTCGCTTGCAGTGTCCGCTGATCCAAGCGCGCTTTCATGCGCTTGGCGCCGCTCCTTTCTGCGGCGCGGCTCGAACTAACTTCGCCTTGGTGCGGCCCCTTTAAATAATCCGGCTATCCGGGCCGCGATTATTTGGCTGGCGTTACGTGGGCCAGGCTGGCCGGGCTATGGCCACATCCACCGGCAGCCCCTCAGGGTGACGGCCACAGAGTCGTTTGTTAGAGCGTCCCCTGGGATCCTTCAATTTCCAACGTCTGCGGTGGCCGAGCTCGGGATCGGATCTCATACGGCGGCCCTTGACGTTGCGCTTGCGGGGAGGTCCGAGCGCCACCCGACTGACAGCCACGTCCCTCGGTCGTTTCCTTGGATGTTTCTTTCGATTCTTCCCTCGTGGCAACCCGAGGCCGTTACATAGTGACCCGGTCACCACCGGCAATCCCCTTAAAATAATCTCAGTAACGCTAATTAATTAATACGAAGCACCTTCGACTTTCCCCTTGGCCGAGCCCGTCCGGGTGGCGGACGCGATTTGAAACGTCACAAAAAGAATATTTATATACACATATATGGGCTATTCCACGCCAATTCGCGAGGGGTCAAACCTCAACTTTTTTATTTTTGATGGCAGTTTTTTAGCAGGTCTTTACGAATACCCATGTAAGAGCGTTTTTATAATAAATGTAGCGTTTCCGAAATAGAGCCTGCGCAAAATAAGG